GAACCCTAGGAAACCAGGGGTACATATCTGCCATAGTTTTAAAAATAACCTAAAGAGTTTAAACGTGAAAGAGCTATTAAAACGCTATAAATGACTGCAATTACAGTGGCAGAAAGAGTCTATAGTGTAAGATAAAAAGCACAAAAGAAATTTCTATATTCATCCCATTAAAAACAAAATATCTATCCAGAAAAATAGTCTAAAATCATAAATACACTGACAACTATATATATTCATGTTCACCCACCCTTGCCTAACAGTAGATTAAATGAAGCTTGCACATTTCAGAGGAGCAAATAGAAAGAAAACATTCGAGGGACCAAATGGGGGGCGTGTTGTGAGGCAGTAGAGCTAGAGGGGGATCTCATCCACCAGAACTGCAATCTAGTGCACACAAACTACCATGGCACTCAAAAAGTCTTTAATGACTTCTCATAGAAACAGATTATTTCATGTGTATGTGAAATTTCTTTAAATTCTTCTTCTTCATTAATTTTAGTACTTTCTCTGAAATCAGGGATCTGTGCTTTTGATATGCTGAAAGATTGTTCTTTCTTAGACAAACTACGCTTGTCCCAAGAGATGTCATCTAGATCCTCTCTGCGTTTACAAGTCATAAAAATCTGGAGCCTCTTTTCAGTTCTTTAACTTCCCTTCAGTTCCTTTCCCTTCCCAGCCTTGCATGGCTCGTCCACATGTAATACCACACAGGACCTTTTGTAGATTAAAATGTCTATTTAAAATAAAAAAAATATTGAACTTTCCAAAGTCTAACTTGTGATTTACTCCATAAACTTCAGAGCCCAAACTACAAAAAGTCTTAGCTACCTGGTTGCCACTTTAGGCAGCTGAGCCTGTGTAACATTGACATCTCACAAATTCTCATGTCCATGCCCAGCTCCCAGCTTCATAATGGAACAAAAATCAAACATCTTTTGCTCCTTCAGCTCCTTCAGTTTAAATGAGTACCCACCCAGTACGGACAATCAGGGGACCAGGAAGACCAGGGATGCTAGGGAGCACATCTGCCCCAGAGAATAAATATTGCCTAAGAAGCTGCTGATGCAATACCTAACTCCTTTCAAATAAATCTTCCCTGTAGCACATCATCTGAGATTCAAAGGGCTGAACATGCTTGTTGGCCTTATCTCTGTATTGGCATGGCAGGTTGGGAAGAAGGAAAAGGGAAGAGGAAAGAGAAGATCCATTGGACCTCCACTTTCAGCAGCTCCCTCTGGAATGCCAAAAGTGCAAATGGTGGCTACAATGGGGTTGGCTCTACCCCCCAGCTCAGGAGACTTGCAGCTATCTCATGGCTTGTGATGGCACAAAAGGATGTCACAAAACGTGCGCTGTGGGGCTTTACGGTTTGTAATGTGGAAAAAGCCTGCAATTTTTTGCAGGAAACAGTAAGCACTTGGAGAAATTAAAGAAAGGTGTTCTCTACCTACTCTAGCTTTAAATACTCTATCAACTGATACTTAAAAATGAAGGCATCTCCAATAGGGGTAAAGTTGGTAATTTGGAGGATTAAAGCTTTGCCACAAATGTGTTGGTGTTTTGTATTGGGTGGCCAGTATGCGAATATTTTAAGGAAGAATCTATTAGCTGTTGCCAAAGTAGAACCCTGGGCAACTACTACTTCATTACAATTATTTTACCACGTAAGAGTACTTTACAGCACAGGACTCTGAGCTAGGGCAATTCCAGAAAGGCAAAAACATCAGTGCAAGCCTAGCATCATCACCCGGTGTCCAAAACAGGGACGCTTGGGGCTGAGAAGTGCTCTGTAGGCTCAAGACTTTTTTCACCTCCTTCTATTGATGAAACCACCAGAAACTGCAATTCTAAATTACATTGACACAATGGTTAAAACAGAATTTTGCGCTCACTAAGTAATAATGCTCCTGCTGTTTCTAGAAAGCTATGCCCACTACACCTTTCATTACCCACTGTCTCATTCAAACCCTGTTCTCTTCTTTAAGAGCCTCCATCGCTTCATGTGGTCAGCCTTCTGTCACAGGCTATATCCCAACTGACAGCTGGCAGTCACCCTTCCAAGGCACAGATTACCAGCTCCACAGTCCTCAGTATTTGGTACTACCTCCGACATATACATATTGTGCTCAGAGCTCTTCTCAGAAAGAGGGCAGAACTTGGCTCTGGCAACCCTAAGGGGAATTGACAGGTAGATAAGTACCCAAATTTCTTTTGTAATATAAATAAAGACTTGGGAGTTGTGAAAGTTAAATTTGATTCATAGATCCTACAGAGATTCACTGTGTTAAGGTATTTACCAGCAAATAATTCATTTAATCATGGTGAGTAAGATTCTACACAATTGTAAGCTCCTGTAGTGAGTGTAATTCCCATTGCCACATTTTTCAAACAGACAAGACTGCTACTTTTACACTAGAGCTAGAGATTACCTTTCCAGAACTACTTCTTGACCTCCGTCGTGTGCTCATGCATTCTCTACTCTGGTGAGGGGTAGCAATTCTACTAGCTCCAGTTATATTCAGATTTTCCACCACATAAACCATATGCTCGGCAGCACAGAGTAAAAAGTCCCATGCTTTTAACACAATTACTGCTTGCCACTGCAGTAATACTGGACAAAAACAGCAGTACAAATATGTTTCTTAGCGTCCTCATTTCAGTTATCTGAAGAGACTCCAGAGCAATAACTGAAGTTTACTATACCAGTCATGTGAATTTGGTTCTTAATTTATACGTAACTGATATCCTAGAACCTAATTTTCAGGGAAAACAAATAGAATGATTTCATATTAACTCATTTTTACTTCTCATTTCAATCAAAGCATTCTTTCTTAGAAGTATATGGATGTCTAATTAGAAATTAATGATGTCTCATTATTTTTAGTCAAGATTTCCATTAGAACAACATGGAAATAATCAGTTGCAATGTTTAAAACTAAGCACATCAATGAGCAGGACAGGGGAAGTTTGAGGAAGAACATTTAGCACAGGTGAGAAGTTCCACTGTCTGGAAGGACCTGAAGAAGACGAACTGACCTCTCTTCACTTCTACAGAAAAGAATTAAGTCTCTCCAGAAAGGAAAGTAACAAAGTGAGAGAGGAGAATATTAAGAAGGAACAGAAACAGGGAACTTTTTAGCAAGAAAAAAGAGGAAGGAAAGCAACTACCTGCCCAGAACACTAATAAGAATCTCACCCTATAACTGGGTGAGGTTGCAAAGATTAAATACAGGGAGAAACAGAAAAAGACCCTTTCATCTGTCCAGTCCACTTGAACAGCATAAATTATTTTTTTCAGTTCCCCTTGCAATATCTTCTACTCTGTTGAACTGTTAAAGTCTCCTTCACTTTTCTTTAGTCTAAACAAACTGTTTCTTGTTTTTCTGTATAAGTAATTATGTCTGATGTCTTCTGCAGTGTCTCCAAGTAGTCCATATTTTTTTTGATTGTGAGATTGCCAAAACCACTTGCAACACAACTTCTTTGGTTTTCTCCCAAAAGATAGGATAAGCTCCTCCCCTAGAAACGATTCACACCTCTGACCTACTGAGTCTTGAAGAAAATGTAAAGGTGAGATTAGGTTTAACATGTTCACTATGGCACACAAACATTGGGTCCATTTTGCTGAGCATTGCATTGACAAATATATTTTGCATTTCCTTGTTGTCAGCCCTGCCTCTTGCCTTGGAGGGGAGATAACACGAAAGGACAGCCAAAGGACATTCACAGGGAAAAGGAGGTTGAAAAATCCTCTTCTGCTGAACACTTTGTCTCCCAGTTTCTCTAGACCTTCTCACAGCTTTTCTCAGAAATATTCATTAAAATCAAAATCTGCTTCAGTAATCAGTTAAGTGCTTTCTTTACATTATATGCCCAGTATTATTATTTCATAAATAACAATTTTTGTCTACTTATTTACACCCTGGAGACAGGTTTTAAGCATTAGAAGAGCTGCTAAGAAATTAAGGCTACAAAATAAAGTATCTTTTTGATTCTTTCCAAAGTCATCCTCAATTGTAAGAAAAAACATACAGCTTTCAATAAGTACTACAAAGTATGTGATAGATACATTAAGAAAACCAAAGAAATTTGAAGTAATTTAATTCCAAGTTTGAGCTACTATTCCTGTCCAACTATTGCAGAAAAATTACCTCTCTATACTGATACCGAATCAGGATAATGGTAGCCTATGCCTTCCATTCAGGTTGTACTAGAGGATACACAAACTGATTCTCCACCTCTATTTTATATTCCTTTTTTTTTTTTTTTTTTTTTTTGAGAAAACTTTGTATTTTCTCAACAGTTTATCACAATAATGGTTATCATTAACAGGAAAAATACATGGTAGTAGCTATGAAAAATCTGATTTTGCTGTCAGTTGGATAGTTCAGATTCTATACATGTCTTTGAATAGAACAATGTGGATTTTTGATCAGCTCTTTGCAGGATTTTGCAAATTGTAACTTGCGTGAAAAGACCCTCATCTACACAATTCCACTGAGGCCCAAGGATCTGCCTTCATTACTCCAGGTAACACGTAAGGACTATAAAGCATCCTCCTACACATGGCCGGTACAAATACTTATTAGAACAAGTGATGAGCTGAGCAATTTCAGCACAAGGGAAAAAAGGAGCTAGACCAGGCTCAATCTGAAAAGTAAATCATTAACACAAGCACCTTCTGTAGGTGAGTATTTCATTCTGTGACTAGCTGAATTCTGATTCTTAAAATCAACACAGCAGAACAGAGGGTGTAGTGCTAATTACTCTGTTTACTTATGGCATAATCATACTTATTCATATATGATTAATGACTAAGTATACGGTGAATCTATAAAACCTGAGGACGTAGAGTATCAAGCAGTGTTCCTGCTTCGTTGCTACCTTGGAACCTAATGTGCTTGGCACCAGTTTAATTGGATGGTTTCCATCAGTTCTCCAAAACAAAATTATAGTTAACTATAATAATTTAGTTTACTGAACTGTTAGTTTTATTCCAGGAAAGCTGCTGTTTTCATCTCAAAGGACCTTGAAGACTTGTATCAAAATGTATTGTGGAGATTATGTAAGTATAATGATCTGTTCTCTGAAATCTTTCAAAACTTTTCATTGGTTTTGAGTTGTAGTCGCACACGTTGGGACCCATTTCCCTCCACTGGTAGAAATTAATCTCAGGTGAAGTTAACTTATCTGTGATTTGGGTCTAATTCTGGGGTTACTTACAGTATATATGAAGTGTCTGAATTGAAGATTAAAATATAAAGAATTATCAGTTCCTCACTCATAATTTTAGACCTTTCAAGACAAAATAATTTTTCTTTTGTCCTTTACAAGATTCTCTTTGTGAGTTTTGTACACTTGCACTTAGCTGTTACACAAGACACAAAATAGCATACTATCACCTAATTGTATTAAAAATAAAAATATGAATTGTTCAGAAGATACCAATTCATGGCACTATTTTAGTGGGCTTATATTTTCACAAGACGGTCTGTAAGTGCATAAAGTAACTCAATAGCTTTATCATTTAGAAACATTTGCTATAGTTCACAATGTGAAAAATATTTTAAAGCAAAGAAATGCTGCCTCTACAAGGGCCATAACACAGAAAAAGCTATTAATTATTGTACCCCATCAATAAATTGTAGCATGTATTAAACGTTTTCATTAGCGCTCTTCGAGAAAATAAAAGTTCATACTGCAATTTTAAATCTCCATTCTGAAAGCTACTTCAGTTATTTTTTCATGACAGCAAAATATGAAATTGCTTTCTGCAGCTGGCATACTGATAATTATGTTCACTAAGGACTTTCACATTCTTTTAATTATTATTAATAAGAATAATGATTCATTCCTCTCAAATGCTTTTTGCATGTGCATTCCAAATAAATTTACCGATTGATACAGAATTTTCTAAAGGCTGAACATTTTTTCCTTATTTATTTTATTTGAAAGTATGATTGTACTGATTATTCTAATCTCATCAGTAAAGTATTTTTTCCTATAAATTTATATTGCACATATTTGTTTTTCTAAAGTAATAGGTATTGAACAGGTTTTACTAATGTGTTTAGTTTTTTGGGGGGGATCTTGCATTCTTTACTAGACCAGTTAAGAATTGAGAAGGGATTTTCTTCCCTGTTTCTTATTTTCTCTTTTAATTAATATATTATTAATTTATTCCTGATAATTAAAGGAAGACAGGAAGAATAACTCCATCTGACAAAGCTAGTAGATCAATTTCAGTTCAAGAAATCAGGATGTTCAGTTTCTTTTCTTCTGCTGATTTGTTGAGACCAATTGTATTTAAAACATCAACATTGCATCTGCATATATTATGCTGCCTGATATTGCTGGTACTACATTATAAAATAACTTATAGAAGAAATCATTTTGCTTTTAAGTCATTACAATTGGTAATTATTATATTTGTGACAATATTGCAACAGTTCCATAGTATTATCAAAAAAATCCAATAGATTGCACATTAATTCTCAACTGTGGGAGAAGTTTACACTAGCTATTTTAGGCTTAATTTAATGTAATCATTCCCCATTAGTCAGCCTTTAGGACTGCTTGAGCAGAGAGGGAACTTAAGTTCTTAATTTTGACCCTCTGAATTGCACCAAAATACTCCAAAATAAATGGTGTGAATACCATCTCTATTCCCTCTACTTCTTTTAGAAATGGAAAGATGGGAGGCTTTGGAGAAAGAATTCTCTATGTTTAAAAGTACCCCTTCCATTACTGTATCATATATTATTCAAATGAAGTGTAACACACAAAACAAACTCAAAGTAAATAAAAATACTCACAATTTTTTTATTTAATAAAGTTGCACACAAAAGATATCTTTGCAGAAGTATAGCTAGCTCACAGCATGTAGTTAGCTAATAAAGCAAGCATCTTATTTTAGTAGATATTCCCTACGGGAGACATTCAGACTAAGGAGTCTGACTTTGTTTGTTATCAGCAGAATGACTTACTGAACAAATATTATTAGAAGGTTGTTCATACTTTAGATTGCTTTTTCCATCACAAGACTGAATTGGCTGAACTTTACACATCATAATTTGATAAAAGCAGCCTCAGCTTTTACTGATACTTTTATTGAACTGCTTATGGCTTTGGTCAGGAAAAGCTGTAACTTCCTTGCTCTCGCACAGAAGGAAGGTAGAGTGCAAGTATCATTTTTCAGACTTACTACAGATTTTACAGTCCCTTTCCAATCTCTTTTGTTGCTTTGACTCATTCCTCTAACACCACACAAACCTGCTCTATCTGCCCAGCTGCTGGGGAATCAGTTCCTTTCAAAAGAGCTAAATGCACATGTGCAAACACACAGAGGTATGTATAAAGTGCCCACATAGACCACCTCTGTAGAAACAGATCTCTGTTTTTGTAGATGAGGTATCTTGACCTCAGATAGAGGATCAAAATCCTTAAAGTCATAAATTACTGAATCACCTCTGGAGATTTGTTGGCCTTACCTTTAGGTGCTTGGATACTTGCTGGGAAAAAAGCAAAATATTGTTGATTTTCTTCCTTCTGAATAATAGAGATCCTTTTTGTTAGGATGCTGCAGAAGAAAGACAGTATGCAAACCATTTCTGCATGCTCACATACAGCATCTGGTCTAAACCAACCTTTAAAAAGGCAAAATTGCTCTCAGAAATAACTCTCCTCAGCTGCTCCTTGAAAGCAGTTTCTTTCTAATGCAGAAAGCCCTGCCATGGTGAATACTATGGTTGCAAAGAGTATTCCAGCAAAATGGTGCATATGAGATGCAAGGTGCTAGCATGTTGGTATCAAAATTGAAACAGCCTTTTAAATTGTGGAATTCTTCATGTTCTTTCAGTAACCATACCAGGCATTTCCCCCCTGGATTCTTCAGAAAATTTGGCCGTATTTCTGTGTATTTGTCCATCCATCTGTCCCTACCAGTTACTTTGAACCTGGTAGTGAATTTATATCATATTTGGCAGAAGAATGGCAATCTCTCCAGAAGTTTTGTGAAAACACTGATCAACAGAAGTGAGGGAAACAAATTCTTTTTCAAAAAATACAGCAGCTGAAAGTCAACAGTCATTTATTCTATTGGCCTAGCATTAGCCAAGCAGTATACGTATACTTTGGAGACAGTCACAGGACAAACCATCTTTTACTTAGCCAGTGGTTGACTTGGAAAGGACCTGATGGGTTGTGAAAGTAGATGGAGATTCAAGGAACAAGGAGGGAAAATTAACTACTGCGGTTGTCGCTAGAGGAAGTAAGTAGGACTACAGAGTCAAAACAATCTGGAAGAAACCAGTTGTACTAGCTGCAGTACTCGCAGAACAACTTATATCACAAAACAAATGTATTTCAAAACAACACACTGTCCTAATATCCACAAAATCCACATTCTTGCACCCAAACCAAGTAATTCAATGTGACGTTGTATAGGCAGCAAAACACCTATGTATGCACTTGTGAGGATGGATATTTCTGAGTGCAGACAACTTGAAGGAAAAGTTTAGTGTTACTATATCCTGTCCACTGTACCTAATGAATATATCTAAACATATGCAAATCTGGGAAGAGCCACAGAAAAATGCATGAGTTTTCACAAGTTTCATTATGAAGATTGTGGGAACATGCAGTATATTAGTAAAGAGGATATTTGAAGGATATCAGGGTGAGAGGAGTTAATCACCATCTTGTGTAAAACAAAGCTTTACTGACTTTGACAAAGATATGTACATTCACACCAACCAAGGACCTAGCCCATATTTCTTCTTTATGATTTTTAGATCAGTATTTCCTTAAGGCAACATTTAGAAAACTCCTTCCCTTTTTTTTTTTTTTTTTTTTTTTTTTAAATGAATGACTGTATTTACCATGAAAGAGCTGAATAATGAGCTGTCTGTGCTGACTCTGATCTGGTTTCAGACACTTAGAAGTTCAGCGCTGCAGTTTCAATGTATGCTAATGTCCCTTTGGAAAGGCGTAACTGCACTCAGATGCTAGTGAAATAGTGAACACCTTACTCACTATGTGATACACCCTAGATTATTATAAATAAAACCCATCTAGGGAAGAAATATTTTTTATGTGATTGATTTGTGAAAGATAAACTGGCTTGCTGTAGCTTCTATGTAGACACTATAGTTAGGCTCACTTAATAGCCATAAAAAACAACTTTGTTTTATGTGCAAGTATCAAAGTCTGTCCCTCCTAACAGGTAAATCTCCTAGGCTCCATGCTCATTATACCTTCACTAGTCTCCCTTTCAGAAAATGAAAATGCATTAATAAACTGCACATGAATTCTTACCAGCATGATAACTCAAATAGTCACATTTTGTACAGTGGACACCAGTGATCACCAACGCAAATGGCCAGTTTTGTGCCTGATCCTGCAAAAAGTTTAGAATTCTTCGAAGTATATGCCTGGAATTAGTGTACACCTTACAGGATTGAACCCAGAGCATAATGCAAGTTTCTTTGTCACTCTATCCCATGTAACTGAGACCAACGGGGTTTTGATAATGTTTACTTATTTTTAAAATGTTATTGGAGAAATTCCTGTTAATTTTTGGCTTTGAAAATGTTATAGAATGATTAGATTGAATGGAGGACTGGTAGGTCATCTAGCCCAGCCTCCTTATCAAAACAGGGTCAACACCCAATTCAGACCACAGTGGCTAGAGATTTGCCCAGTTCAGTTTCTAAAACTTCTGAGAACAGAGACTCCACAACCTCTTCAGGCAACTTCTTCTACTCTTGCTTATCCTCACAGTAAAAAATGTCTTCTTCACATCCAGCCAGAACACTCCCTGCTTTGTTGTATGACTGTTGTCTTTCATTCTTCATGCACCTCTGTAAAGAGCTTGGCTCCATGTTCTTGATGCTTTTCCCATAGCTACCACAGAGCTGCTGTTGGGTCCCCCAAAAGCTCTCTCATCTTCAGGTTTGTTCTCCATTGAACTCTGAATCACTTTTATCTGAAGAAGGCAGACACAGAGCATACTTGGGTTTAGTCTGAAGAGAGAATATTGCCTTGAATTTTAGTATTAAGTATACAGTAGGTGGTTACAGATAAATCATTAAAATGTGACTTTCCTACAGAGGGAAACTCAGGTATATTAAACCCAGCATCAGAGAAAGCAGTAAGCGCCTCGTCTGCCTTCCATCCAGACAATGGAAATAGTCCCTGACTCTGTAATATAAAGCTGGTGTGTGTCTTAAAATAGCTTAATTATTAAGTATATATAGGTGTATTTGGGTATTTTAGTAGATTTTCCTATTTGAAGTTTCACTGATAAAGCCAATTTCAGCAGACTAAAGCTGAATTAACATTTAGAGTTCTGACCAGAAAAGTTTAACTTTGAAACAGCCTGCTTTTTACAAATCAAAGAAACTTATTCAGTCTGTAGATGAAAGGCTGGAATTTAACTATTAACATTATAAGTCATAACCTAGAAGTACTGGATTACAATTAAACAATAATTACTTTGATTGTCAAACTATTTCTTAAGAAAGGGGAAGATGCTGTTAGTGGAATCCTGGCCTTCCCCCCTGCCCTTAAGCCACTGTTCTGCTGATCACATTCTCCTGAATTCTTTGGTCTTTATTCTGTAGCGGTCTAGTGCTCAATGTGCATAACATGCTCTGTGCTCATTTTCGTCACAGTTTACTACTGCTGCTTTTGGGCACATAGGTAATTTTTTTACATTGTTTCTATCTAGGGTGGCTTCTGATAAAAGCAGAGATTGGGTTCTGCCCTCCCCCTCTTTTTTTTTTTAAGATGGTCACAGTAATTCTAGATGCTCTGTCTCAAAGCAGTTGCTACTTCATGTTTTCTATTTTGCAGAGGAAGCAGTAGTGATTCCGCAGGATTTTATTCACTTTAATGTATGATGTGTCTCTGGTCCTGTAAAATATTTTCAACTAATCTTCAGAAGGAGTGTGATCACTCCTCAAATCTGTTGGAATCTGATGATAGTACCAGTGTTCTGGCCTTCCTGATAATTCATCCTGATCAATGGGGAGCTGTTGCTTGAATTACTCAGACCCCTGTTGGACATTTAAAGGTTTCTTTCTTCTCTATGTACATAGCTTTTTCTTTCACATAATTTTCCCTTGATGTTCAGGATCTTCTGGTGAATATTTGGAAGAGTTAAATGTATTTTTAAAAATAAACATGAAGTAAGAAAAATCTCAATAGAGGAAGGACTTAGCATCCCTGTAGTGACCATCTTAAGGCAAGTGGAAGAAAAGTCACAAGATCATAGCATTAATCTCCCTATGCTTTCCAGACCTTACGGGAGAAAAAGATGTGTAAGCAAAACAGAAATGGCCATAGACTCAAAACTGGCTGTTCTGATGTGAGAGTCAAATACTCTCTCACCAGTTTCTTTTAGATATTCCACCCATAGAAGTTTTAATGTATAATATCAAATTTACTTATCTGAAGATTTTACACAGGATTTTCAATCTAGCAGAGTAGTACAAAATGTACTGAAAACAGAAAAGAAATGTTGATGAGATCCCCAATACTGGTGTCTATTATATGCTCTCTGTTACAATGATGGCCACCCCCAGTCACCAGGAAGGAATACGTGGAGTTGAAGCCAGGTGAAGCCCACTGCTCTCTTCCAAATTATTTTGCTCCTTGTTTTGTATTTATACTTTGTGTTGGGCTGAGATACTTATTCACTCCCCTCCTGCTGGTCTGGCTAACTCAGGGAGATATTCACACCCTTTTAATGACAAAATGTGTAAACATTTACACAACCAATTCCTCCACCCAACTGTTGATAACTGTTTATGTAAAAGGAAGTCTGCCCTCAGTCCCCTTTGTGTTGAGATAAAATCAGCTTTCTTCACAACAGTTGTGGTCAGTCACAACCCACATTATTCCCTGAGCCTCACAGGCACAATGCCATTGCCCAGCGCCTCTGAGCCTTCTTCTATTACAGGGGTTTATTGGTCAGTCACAGCTGACTTCAATGGAAAGGAATGAAGCAAAATAGTAGTACATGTAACTACACTCAGGTGTTCAAACAACCCTGAAAACGCCCTGCTTCTAAAGAGGGCAGAAGAAATTCTCTAACCAAAGACAATAGGAAGGAACAACCTATTCCCATGTAGTTGCCTGCTCCTTGATCAAAATTCAATCTGTTGTAATTTCATTCAGTTACCAAATGCCTCTACTGCTCTGCTCCCTCAGTTTGTGCAGTAATGAACACTGCTGCTAGGTGTGCATTTCCTAGGCTTGTTTAGGCATGCAAACTGTTGTATAATTTGAGGGGGGGAACATGATTTTGCACCCTGGGGCCTAGGCTGTGGAAGCAGAGTCCTAGCTTTTTCAAGGTGAGTGTTATTTTGACATATTTCATAGAATTATAGAATGGTTTGGGCTGGAAGGGAGCTCAAAGATCATCTACTTCCAACCCCCCTGCCATGACAGGGACACCTCCCACTGGACCAAGTTGCTCAAGGTTCCATCCAGCCCGGCCTTGATTACTGCCAGGGATGAAGCATCCACAACTTCCTTAGGCAACCTGTTCCAGTGTCTCACCACCTTCAGGGTGGTGGAGACACAAACCTGAATGTGTGAAAGGAAATACCTTGAGATAACAAATCTTTATGGGAATTGAACCTGTTCAAAGCTGATGCAGAGATGAAGAGCCAGCACTGGTATTTTAAAATAGATTTGAATAAATGCACGTGTCCTGCATTTCCTTTCCTACCCACCGCCACCCTTCTGACCAGCGAGGGCTACGACAGGCTCACAGAGCACTTAAACTGAATGGCAGACATGCTTATGATTTCTACCTTTGGTTTAAAATGCAGGTTCAAAGTCTTTGAATCTTGTATCTGTTACTTGCATCTATTTGCATCCCACTATTCTTTATTATTATTTGCATCAAAATCTGTTTTGGCAACCCTCACAGAATATTTGATGATGCGTTGGATTTGGATATGTTTTGTTTTTCCTCTCAAGATTGATGAGCTTTTTTATGTGGCAGACATTTTAGGAAGCATGAATTACAGAGCCAGAAAGCTAAATTTTATTTTTTCCTACCTCATAGCACATATCAATATGTATTTTTGCTTCTGCATTCTAACAGTGTCTTCTGGAACTTCTTACCATAGTGATTTTGTTTATTAGTAAGCTTTGGGGTGGTTTGTCCAGCAGACTGTCCACAGAGCTCCAGCATTTCTGTCTCCTGAGCTGCGGAGAATGATTGAACTAAGGTCAGCATTATCTGACAAGCTAGCAAGGGGGGAAAAATGGAGCCTCATCTAGCGCCTGCCCAAACGGCACTCGAACTCCGCACTACTGCAAACGGCACATGCCTAGGAAACTTCTGGTGGACGACGTTTGAAGAAGTATGTGTACTGGCAGTAACTAGGATGTCATGAGGATACAAAGTCTCAATTTCTGAGGCTAATATCTGCAGAGCCCTACCCCAGAGACATGTCAAGCAACGAGTGAGGCCCAGGGTACACAGACAACTCCCACACTGACAAAGGAAGATGGGACAGAGCATATCTTAAGGATGAGTCTGCAATTCATTTTAGATACAAAAACATGTACCAAACTACAAAGATTGCCATGGTCTCATTGTCTTCTCTTTGGCCAGTAATTACCTCCACATCTCCAAAAGATTTTTTTTCTCATTATTTTCCTGATTGTTTTAATGAGTAAAAACGTACCATGTATTTTATGGTCAGTTGTAAAAGTAGGACCTTGTATTTAAATGATGAACAAACTGTGGAAGGATATTTTTCTACTGGTGAGTACTTTCTTTTTGGAGTAAAGGCATGTTGCCCTATTAGTACTTTTTAAAGTAACTCCATCAAAAATCTTAATTTTCTGACCATGCATTCTTTTCCTGACTTAGCCACTGACAATTTGTTGCCTCTCCTTTTCTTCGCAGGTCTAAAGTAATGATCAAACATATTGAAAAATTTTGTCTTCCTTCTCATCTAAAATATCCACTACTTGCTAAAATTGTAAGCCATGGAAGCATGCAGCCATACACAAAATCTGTATGTGTATGTCATTACTGCTGAAGGCACAACATATAAAATGCTTTCAAGTATATGTAAAGCAAGCAAACAAACAAATTAATTAGTGTAATCAGTGTAACTCCTGATTCTAGGAGGTATTCATAAAAATACCATGTTTTTATTTATAAAATATATCCCATTTTTTTCCTTGAAATGTAAATTTCAAGTTTAAAATGTCATTTTAATCAGATATATTGACTGAGACCAGGAATCATCATAATAGACAACCTTTATATTTTGTACTTCTGGAAAAGTAGGTAGAATCCTCAGAGGAACTAAAGAGGTTAACCAGAGGACACAGCTAAGTAGCTTTCAACCTGTTATTTTCTTCTGTACTATTAAAATGAGTACATCAGTTCTGTTTATTATTCACAGATTTCTTAAAAAGAATAAGAAAAAATACATGCAATAAAGTATCACTGAGAATGAACTGACAGTAATCTAATCAGCTACAAAGAAACTCAAAAAAAAACAGTGTTGCCTTCTACAGATCAGAAAGCTATCTCACACTTAGCAGCATAATTTCTTTAAAAAATCATTAGGTTTGTAAGCAACCTATGTATCTCTTTCATCATTTTCTCACTAGTCCTTTCAAATTAGCAACACCATGAGAAATAGATATTGAAGACTATCAGGGATATCATGGATTAACTTTGAAAGATAAAATAATATTTTCAGAAAAAGGTTGGGAAAGAGATAGACATAAAAATGTGGTTACATTTTAATGCAAAAGAAAATTAATTAGGTTTTTGGGGGGGTTCTTTTTAGGCTTAATTCATGCTAGGGGCAACTTCCTCAAGTATGGTCTGTCTTCCTAGGTCTTACTGCAAGTTAAAGTTCTGTTTCATAAATTAAAAACTTCTCATCGTGTTCCCCATGAAGCAAAAACAATTTAATGTTATGATTGTTGGTTTTCAACAGAATTATATATGCAGTGTTATAGAAGTAAAACACCTCAATTAAAGGCTGCTTTCTCCTTTAGCAGATACAAGGAACGATTTTTCCCGCTCCAAATTTTAACCCTATTATGGATGCCCAGTTGCTAGGAGGAGCCCTACAGGGAATCAGTGAGTATCTTGACTGATCCTAACACTTTTTTTTTTTTTTTTTTTTTTTTTCAGAAGCTTTCATTAGGCTCATAAAATTAAAAGTGTCACCACGTATCTGTTGATTCTTCAAGGTATCACTGTAAGACACACTGGTGATGTCCAGATAAATCATGTATTAGTTACAGGAACTAAGAGATGATTAAGATTAATCTAAAATCTATACCAACACTTATAGTAATGAATGTTTCCCTTCGGAAAATAAGAAAAAGAACACAGAATTCTGTGTTATGTCACCACAGTGAAGGCCAACAAAGGAAAGGTTTTTAATTGTAACTTCAACTATTAACTATTATCAGGGAGTGTTAAGTCTTTTAATCAGTCATTAACAAATACAAATAAATGGAGTAGAAAGTTTAAAGTATTTTTTATCTTTCACTCTGGAGCAATTTTTGCTTTCAGTCTACGTACAAAAAACTTTTTGTACACCAAAGCATTTCTCTCTGTTCAGATTTTTGTGTTTTCCTGTTGAACATTGTTGGTATTGTTGAGGGTCAGAATATTGATTATTTTTTATAATATTTGAAACATTTTTCTTATGTTAAAATTGTTTTCTGTATCAGAATTTTTATTCCCCTTGGGCTTTTCACAAGGTTGTACAGTACCAAATCTTGCATTCTATTTTCAGTTTCTTTAATGGAAATGTAAGGACTCAGACTTGATGTCAAATGAACCAAAATGAGTATTATTGATCAAGGGGAATCTGAAATATCTTTATTATGTTCACTACAAATGAGAAGTTTTAAACATTTTGCTAAACTTCAAACACTACTTCACTACTTTTAATGCAATGTTGTTAACATGACAATGCAGAGATCATTCCCTTCATTTAATACTGTAAATACAAGAGCATTAACCTTACTTTTATTTACCTATCAAAGCATATGGGACAAAGTTCTAATTTCAGGGACTACTGGCAAAATAGAAAGTTCTGCTTCAGAGGAGTTTAAGTCTCCATAGCCTTTACAGGCACTGACACCCTGACATCCTGACCCCAAATCTTGCACACATTTGTTCTTGTGAGGCAGTTCAGTCACGTATGTTGTCCCACTGATAACAGTGGTATCACATAAATTAATAAAGTTATTTAGGTTTTTAATATTTCCTGAATCCTTCTTAATTTTTACTGTCGAGACTATATAACTTGTACAGATTCCTAGTGATAATTATTTTCTGAAAAGTGAAAAGAAATCCTTCTGCACAGAGTTTCAGTAATACTGCCATTTTGTGAGTTTGATGGACTTGAATCAGACATCAGACTGATGTTAAATCACTGTCTGGCTAAAAAGCTGGTGTAATTGTGGCTAGATCATCCAGCAGAAAGATAATTAACCTGGTGCATAATAAGCAAATACAGATTTCCTCTGCCAGCTTAAAAAATAAATAAATTAATGTCCAATTACATTTTTGTCAAAATGAAACCCATCAGTTATAGATTATATGATAAAATCTGCCTAACAAAGCTGTTATAGGTACAGAAGGTGTACCTGTAACACATACACACACACATATATATGCCTACATAACAATGACTGGTAGAAACTTGAGGGACTACTCCATTCAGATGCTAGCTGATCCCCATGCTTTCCAGCCTGATTCATCTCTGCTGCAAGAGTGATCAAGTAAATTGATTTACACTTGGAGATACATTTATGTTGGAATGTCATTAAAATGCTCAGCCATCTAAAATTACCAAGAGCAAACTTTTGGAATGGAAAAAAATATCTAAAGTTATAAAATAATATTCAGCATATGTTAATCATTATCTTCCTTTTCATAAGCAGTAAATACTGATTCATTATAGAAGATTAGCAGTATGCTCTAGCCATCAAACTAGTAACCTTCAACAAAATACCACTGGAAATTGGTTAAAATATTACATTTTTAAAAAACTTCATAACTTATTTTATACAGTTCCTCTGAAAATACATATTTTTCAGTTTTTCAACAAATGGTCTGACCATAATTTGTCATCCCCATAAAAGAGAACCCTAATCCTGAAATGACAATTTAATCAATATCAACAGGGCATACGAGTGTGATTTCCCAGGCTCAGCCACAAATTCTGTTATTGTGCCTAGCTCTGAATAGATGAAAACCTCTATCTGTTTTATTGATGCTTTACTCCATTGAGTTTGAGAGGGATGATGACACATCTGATAGTAACAGACTATTTCACTTTTTGCTGGTATTACACCAGCAAGTGAAAGGTACATAATCACGGTAAATAAAACTAATGTCAGTAAATACCAGTGGGATATCAATCTGTTGATTTATATTTTCCAAGAAATCAGGTTAATGTTCTTGAAAAAACATGAACAATCACAAATGTAAATAAATAACAACACTTTTTTAACTTAGAGTTTGTGTCGTGTTTCCTTTACAGGTTGTGAAAAAGATGTGTTGATTGATATCCTAACACAGCGTTGCAATTCACAGAGGCTTATGATTGCTGAGGCGTACAGAGACATGTATGGCAGGGTATGACAGGCATTTTGTGCTTTCACTGTTTCTGTCTCTCTTGTCTCCAGTGCTCTTGGTCAGCCCTTCTCTCAGGTCAGTCACTAGAACCAAAAGCCTGGCAGGCAGCTGTCTGGCACCAACAGACTGGCACACAACTTTGCTCATGTAACTGTCAGTACCTCTGATGGTTCCAAATTGTCATTTATATAGCGGTAGAAGTATGTCTGCTACACATAAAGTAAAAAAAGGGACATGCAAAGTTTCTTCCATAGTTCATTCTCCTCCTCTACTGACCAAACCAGAATGCTTGGATAGACTTATTTCTTCCTCTATGTGCTTTTGGGGGTTTCTCCATTACTTTTTTCAAGTCTCTCAAATACCTAATAAAACAATATTGTATTGGCTTGAAACACCAAAGAAAACCGCCATACCAACAGTTACAAGTAGTTGTACCTTATGCACTGGTTGATGTTCTTATCTCAAGTACTGACATTCTCAGACCTCATACCACATAATCCCATCCATATGCTAAGCACAATACTCATCTGAGCTGCTTAATGTTAAATTTATGAATCTTTGAAATGTGTTTCAAAAATTTTAAGACACAAAAAGTTAGCTTTTTTTTAAAAAAGAGCATTTTATCCATATTTATTGTTTATAACAAGGTAATTTTTGTTATACGAGTTCTTAAACATACACAGAGATAGATATCCTCATTGTATTTCCAGGTTTACTATTGCCAACCAAATGACTTTGGGAAAGCTGCAATGCCTGCATTTTCCTCAGTTACCCCAGCCATATAACAGCAAAAATAACAGCAACACCTTTTGTAAAATCGCTGTGAAATCTAGTGACAAAAAGTGCTCTATGAAACTAGATACTATGGGAAAGCTAAAGAAAAATGCTGTGATTAAATTGGCCAGACACGCCCTTTCCCTAATAGAAGCCATCCAAACATTTTAAACAAAATCCTGTTTTCTTCTTTTCCTGAAGCCTGAAAACACAACAGCTCACTGGAAAATGCCTTGAAGGTCAGTGCATGCTTGCCATTGAATTGATCAGCATGAATGAAGACAGTGCGTTCACAGAAATCCTACCACACAGCCATCAGCCCTAATTAGAGTTAACTAGAAATGGTTCATTCAAAAACTCCACATTAACTGCCGATGTGGAAGTCTGTTACATCACCAGTCTGTTAACCAGTAGAACAGTTTATTTTCTTCTTTGGGTAGCCAAGCTGTTTTCCAGAGGCTGCCTTTGTGCCACCTGTATACCAAAATACCTCACAACCATTGACCTCTAAATATGCTGAAACACACCCTACTCTCCTAGAACTGCGGGAAAGAGAAGAGCTGGATTTAATCAGTGTAGTGGGTTGATTTTATGTTCTCACTATCGGAGATCACTGGCTTTATTTGAACTTTTATAAAAAAACAAATACACAATATTTGTAATATTTTAGATGCAGCCTCAAATGGATGAGGATGTTTTAAATAAACCATAAAAGAACAATAACTGCATCACAGGTATCCTTACCTTCCAAAGACTGTGACAGTGATTGAAATCAGTGGATCTGAATGATTAAAAGTGTTTATCTATTATGAGGTATTTGTTAGGTTACCATTACCATTACACATGCAAACCACACAAGTTCAGTGTTTATCCATGCAACATTCCCCACCGAGTTTTACTTATAGAACATTAAAGCATGTCAAGCTACCCAAAGGTACCTCTGATAGTAAAGCACCCAAGCCCATTCTTTTGAAGTCTTCATTTATCTCCTTGATCACTGGACAGTGCTCCTTCTCTACTCTGTCCATAGCAGCTGGCTGGGTTTTTTTAATGTTTTATCTAGAGTGTTTCAACTGGACCTATCATTTTAACAAGGGAAAACATTTAAAAGCTCCATATCATTTTTATATTTTTAATTTCTGCCCTCTGATACATGAAGATGACCTAGACATAACACGAATGATATCTCAATAAAGAATTGCCAAATGTCCTTCAGGAATGGAGTTATGATTTGCCATATTTAGTATTAACAGACAACAATTATTGACTTGCTCACAACTGATCCATCTGAATTTTCTTTTCAAATCCAAAATAAAAATATAAACAAATAAATAAATCCCTATGAAAACACATCACACCTTTAAATTTATGCCTCTGTCAATCATATTCAGTCAGCCTGAAGTGCTATGAAGCCAGTGGCCACAGACCTAAAGATCTAGAACTAAAAAAGCCAAAGAAAACCTCAGATCTCATTTTTAAGAATTTCAATCTCTAAAGCTATGAATAATAATAGAAGGGAAAGGCAAGCAAACTATTTTTATATTCCAGCAATGGGCTACGGAAAATTCTGAAACTCATGAAACATCTTGTATATACACCCACAATTTTAATTTAAATGAATTCGTTAAGCAGTGGGTATACTTTACAGCAAAAGATATATCAAGATATTGTTGACAGCTTTCCAAAAAAACCTACCTAGTTCCACCTTTTGCCATGAGGAAACGGGGTTCAGTACAAATTAGCTCCAATATAGTTCAGAGAAGAAACAGGAATGCTTACTTTTTTTGTCTCACCTGTGACAGCAGATATACTGAAATGGCTAATCTGGTCAGTGCTCCACACAGTCATTTGACTGAGCCCTCAAAAGTTTGCTATCTTCAGTAGGGACTGCTGAACAGGATGGGATGTGTCTTGCCCTGAACTGCTGCAGTTTACACTTCAGAAGATACTATAGCACACATCACTGATAGAATTTCACTGGCTGTAATCTATATTCACAGATATATTGCATTGGACAAATGTGCCATTCGGCAGTCCCAGCTTATGAGTGGTAAACAGAAGAGACATCCAGCTAGGCAGTAACAATTTTAGCCTTTTCAATCTATGGTAAACCTGTCAGTCCAATCCTCCACTCTCTTAAATTCAATTCAGTCTGTTCAATATGGCAGCCACTATGCCCATTCACTTGACAAGTGTAAAGTGTGACATATTAGAAGGAGAAATAGACAAAAAAAAAAAAATAAACCCCGAACTGGTGCATGATTCAGACATAGAGACAAGCTTTAAGATTCCTTCATACAATTAGCCTTCAAGGATTTCTTATAGCAGAGATGAATAGAAAATGCTAATAATGACAATTTAGAGTTGTCTTTTCTTATTTTTCAATACTTCCCTTAGTTCTGATTGCAGGAGTACTTTTTAATTAGTATCCATTTGTATTATTAATCCATTTTCCCACAGGCATGTTGTCTATTCCACGTGTGATTTAGTGGTTGTCAAATGCATCTAATGTGTATTCACTGAAGACTGCGTATATTTCTTCATCATAAATTTAATTTTTAATATGTCTATGTCCTCCTTCATTGCTACTCTAGCTACTAATTTAATTATATTCAGGCATGTATCAAAACCAAAATACAGGCCTCAAAAAGATGCAGCTCTGAAACACAACAGTTTATACCTTGGGAACTCTTTCTGGTACTCCTTTAAATTCAGACTTAGGTCAGAACAGATCTGACAGCTGCCTAGTGCTATACACAAAACATAAAAAAAGATGAGTGCACAAGTACCCTCTTAATCAGAAAGAACAATAATATAACAAGCTGTTGGCATTTGCAGTGTTTTGAAGGATGCTACCGGGAAAGGGGAGAGTGGGAAGTAAACTCTCATCCATTACTCAGCTACCTGGCAAGTGAGTACTAAGACACATGCAGAGGAAGAGAGGGGTTTCTTTTTATTAATCCAGCTTCTGTCAAAAGTAGTGAATTCAATTTGAATGTAATATATACACAAATTGAAGTACATAACCTTCCAGTAATCCAAAGCAGGTATCTTTATGTACTGGGAGCAATATGGATGATTTTTTAACAGTGAGTAACACTGAAAACAGCACAAAAAATTGCCTGTATTCTATGGGATTTGACTTCCAAAGATCCTTAGCTCCCACACATTTGCACAGGGAATATGCCAAGGGAAGCTGCAGATGCTCTGCCACGGTATTCAGGCTTCCAAGCCTTTAAGTAGTAGTTGCACTTAAATCCCTGAATTTTCTTCTGTATTCTAATGAACTGAAAATCAACAATCCTATGTGGTCTACTGGCTTGTGTGTCTATTGTCATCTCACCCATACTGTTAGAAGAAGCAGGTACTATTTAAAAGAATATTTTTCTTACTATTAGCCAGAATTCATCTTTGACAGTTAGTTCATCTTTATTCACTTACAGAGAAAACCACTAATACTTTTTTTAAGCTGTCTTCATAAAGTGTGACTACTGAAATAATCCTGTCTATGCATTTGCTTTTTCTTTTCAAGGATCTAATAATGGACCTAAAAGAGAATCTCTCTCATCACTTCAAAGAAGTTATGGTTGGCTTGATGTATCCACCTGCCTCCTATGATGCCCATGAGCTCTGGCATGCCTTGAAGGTACTTGTCAAATGCAGAATTGCTTAGAGTCGCAGTCGCTAATTACAGTACTGAACATATGTTAAATTCATTTTTTTGATATTTAAATGCTTGATAAACTGCAGAAAGTTAATACACTGGGTCATCAGAAATACAGTGTTATATGAAGTTTATTCATTGGTATGCTAAAACCAGCATAAATAATATCCTTGTCATGTAACGAATACAATCCATACAAACCATGGTAAACCTGGTAAATGAAGAAATAGTTATACAGGGAAATGTAAGGCCCTGATCCTGAAAGCATTTATGTATGTTACAAACAAAATTCATTTGAACAGCCAGTGCAATGCACTAAGCTTCCACCTCTGAAGAGAGCAATACTTCTTTAGCAGAACATGTCTTTACGTAAATACAAATTACCCTGTGACAAAGCAATGATCACTTCACTCAAATTGAACTGATTACACATTTTGAAGAAAATATCTTCTTTTCTTCCCAGGATCTAAGCCTGTGCTCCTTAAACAACTGAAGTTTTTGGGAAAAAAAAAAAGGATTTTTTCAAAGATCATGTAATTAAATGGTGAAATTCATTCCTGCAGGGCATTGTGGAGGCCAAAAGCACAAATCAGTTCATAAAGGACTTCAATAGGTCCACTATCGGCTGTTGAAAATAATAATCCTTGGCAAATTCCTTCTCAGGAAATTCCTAAATTGCCAATTCCTGGAAGACTGGAAGGCATATTAGAGCTCAACACTCTTTTCTTTTTCTTTCCACGAATATTTGCTACTGTCTGCTGTCACAAATAAGACACAGATTATACCACTCTGAGCAAGGTGATCCATCTTACATATTTTGAGAATCCCCTCAAAAAAAAAAAAAAAAAACACGAACACTGTTTTTTCTTGTCCTTCAGACGCTTAAACCAATGCACTTTTTAGAACAACTGATATAGCTTTAACTACAGTTGGAATTAAAAGGATTGTGAAATATCATTGGTAGCACTGGAAGCATGACTTTTATTAACATTATTGACAAGATTGCCAAAGTTATATTTTTTTCTAAATGTGGCTCAAATAAAAATGTCTTCTACTATTCTGTCTTGATCTGGATTCATTAGCCAAAGTATAAAAGAGGCCACAGGTGTCTCCAGGCTCAGAATCAATGTCATGTTCTCCCATTAGCCCAAATACAGAATACTTACAACGCTATCATGTGCATATCAAAAGTGGCATATGCAGCGTATCTTACATCAATTCAGCTTTACAAAATTAATCCAAATCCTGTGGGAAAATACAGTGATTTGCAGCACAGCATGCATGGCCATGATGCTTCCCTTAAATACCAAATTCTACGGTAGATACTACAGACTGTAACATTCCTAAATAAATTTAAAAAAAAAAAAAAAAAAGAAGATAGAAGCATAACATAATAGTTGTGCTCATATCTACTTCAGATTGCCTGAACACTTGCTGAGGTTGTATGCTCAATCTTTGCATCTGATTTCTTTCAGCAAATCCTAAATTTTTACTAAAGCTCTAAAATTCTTCCCATTATGTTTCTGTCAGCACGAGTCTTCCTTCATTCTCCACTTGTTAATGTACATGTTGAAATTCAGATTAAGTAGGAATATATTTGAAATACAGTGTTCTACTATTAATTTAGTAATTTTCCATTTAAACAGGTAGACTAGGCAAAAGTACACTCTGCATTGCTCCAGCAGAGACTACTATTCTTTTGTTACTTCTGATAAGCACAGCATTGCTTTCTTCTAAAAGCTGTGGGTTCTACTAACAACATCTTTTCATATTTGCCTCTTTCCACACAGGGAGTAGACACAGAAGAAAAATGTCTAATTGACATATTAGCCTCAAGATCAAATACGGAGATCTTCCAGATGAAAGAAGCCTACTTAATGCGTAATGTTTTTAAGAGCGCACAGTAGCAGTTGTACTCTATGTGCTCTGGATGTATTAGCACACATGTAGGAAATGAATTACAAAAATTAATTCTCAATACCAACTGGTTCCCTTTCCCCTCCTCTCCTATAACTATATACAAAAGGGTGAAGCAAAATGTTTAAAGTTGAAAAAACATCATAGTATTTTTGAGATGTATTGCTGCCTATGACATTTGAAATACCTGGAAGACACATTTAGGGATTTGCAGAAACTTTTGCACACTTTAAGATGTTTTCCTTCAGAAAGTGCTTACTCGGGCTGGACGCTCCACTCACCTGCCTTGATGGGGCATTTCCGAGTGTCCCACCACCACACAACAGCAGCAGTGGTGGGGCTGCGCCTGCAAATCAGTGAACAGGCAGTCTGGGGCAGTGGCTCAGGACCTTGGCAGGGCAGAGCCCCCCAGCAGGGCCCAGACAGACCTTCCAGCCCCATGGGTAGGTCTGTGTAGACCCTGCACGGGTTACTGTGGAATAATCACCCTAGAAAAGGGTGGACAAGTATTTGCACCCTATTTATTCATCCTTTGTTTGCTAATCTTTATTAGTACTACTCAGAGTATGTTAATTTGTGATTCAGATTATACATTTTTGGTTTAACCTAGAATATAATAATGATCTTCAACAAGATATCGATTCTGAGACTTCAGGTCACTTCAGAGATACGCTCATGAACCTCGCTCAGGTACTGTAAAAACAAGTAATATGACTAACATTTCTAAAAAAATTCGTAACAATTTTTGATACTATTTGAGAAGTCTTAAATTTTAAGGTGACTGTGGTTAAAGCTATTCAACAGGGCTACACTTTTGAACAAGGTGGGGGAGTGAAGCAGAAGAAGAAGAAAACTTGAATTCCTTCATCTACTTTGACTTTGACTTTGGCTTTCAGATGGAGACAAAGGTGAACAGACTATCCTATTGAGTAAGCCCCTGGATATTCAGCTGCTGACCCTCTGCTCAATCTGTCTCATCTCAAAAGGAATCTCCTTGCATATTCGAATGAGATTTTAATTTTTAAAGTTTCATTGTTAGAATATATGGTTCATAATCCATTCTAGGCATTATGTAAAAATTGAGATATATTCACATTTGACTGAGAAAGAAAGTATTAAATCTTTCTGTTTTAAACATTATGTTCTTTGTGCTACTGCATATGCTAAATCACAGTACGTTTGCATGCAAGCAAATGAATTGTCACTATCATGCACCAACTTTTGCATTTTTACCTCTTTGTAGTTTTATGCAACAAAGTTGGTTGTCCTTGTCAGGTCACGAGTTCTCATTTTCATTGTAGTCACTGTGCTCATTATCTTAAAAATCTTTTGTAAATCGGAGTAACAAATAATGACAAAAGGACTGCCAGAAGACAACAGCATACATCAAGTGTATTTGTGGGTTTATGTATGTGTGTCTGGGGAAAAAGTTCTTACTAAGATTTGAAACAGCAGCAGCCTTCACTGAGGTACAGAGATAAAGAGCAGATATTTCAAAGGTAGAACCTATAAACGGGAAATATTTTTTTCTAATGTGGGATTTTTTTCCCATAATAATGAAAATTCTTCTCTGCTTAAAAATGAAGAGCTACAGGTTAAGCAACACTTCTCATCTTTATTAAAACCATGGGATACATTTTGGTCTTCAAAAGAAAAAAATTAAAATAAATTATTTGAGACTACATTATTAGTCCTTATTTTCTTAAACCACAGCTATTGATAAAGAGGCCTGAAATCAGCAACTTCTTAGCTAACAATATCTAATTGCTATTTTTCTCATGATAGAGAAATGTTGCAGGGAATTCCAACTTACGCAGTCATACTGCATACCTCTGAAGATTGTTAGTTGAATCATCCATGTTTGGATACAATCTTATACTAAAACTCAGTGATATTTCATTAAAATATATCCTTTGTAGTTCTAGTACTATGCAATTTACAGAAGATTATTCTATAGCAACATTTCCAACGCATCCTTTAATGCTTTCTTCAGACACCCTTTTCTTCAATTTCTATTAAATCTTGGGACTGATGATACACACATCTGACTACAGATGGATGTAAATGTGCTTCACATATGGAGAGCAAACTATCCAATTGCTATAGTGTGATATTTACGGTTTTCATGTCTAAACAGAGGTAGATTAGAAGTTATATGTTACAGTCCTTCCTAAATAAATTAACAGAGTTACAAATCCAGGCTAATTAATATTCTAGTATGAGACAAACATTTTTATTATAATTTCTTTTTTGGGGTATTAATTGAAATATGATCATTTTCTACAATTTAAAAAATAATTACACATATTGTGGGATTCTCCAACCAAACTACACCAAGAGTAACTGTTGAATGTTACTGGGGAAAGTGGGCATTTGACTCATGTACAGTACTATCTAACTTATTTTATTGTTCGCTTGTCTGACTTTTTTCTTGTATTTTCTCATGTATGTAACTTTATGCAGTCATTCCAGCACAATTTTCTTCACATAACTGATCTTTCCACTGCATGAATTCCACTGCGTGAAATTCTTACGATTTAATTAAAATATAAATTAACATTTTTAACAGGAGCTACAAATCAGTCATTCCAAAAGTTGACAGCCAATATATAATTTTAATCCTCCCCTTCACATATCGAGTAAAATAACTAAATTTTAAACTAAAGTAAATTGCTTCAAACATGTATCATTAAGGCAGTGATTACATGCAGCTTGAGACTGTTAAAGAGTTCTGCAACCAAGGCTGATTTGTTTCCTTACAAGACAATTACAGTTAAAAAAAGCAATTCCAAAAGTTGTGTGCTCTTCTCTTTTTCTAACAACTATATAATTCAGATCATAGCGTGTTTACTAAAGCATATCAGCTGGATTTGTGTAACTGAAAAGCTATTAAATGTATGATAAAATGAGAGGAATTATTCTGTGGTTTCTGTATCAAAGTTGTCAAACAATTTCCTAGTCTTGAATCTTAATTTTAGGCAATGTTTATGAGCAAGCGAAATCTCCATTATTTAATGTTCTTGCTCCTATGGTTTTTGCAGGGGGAAAAAAAAATTGAGAAAAGATTCTTCCGGTAATATGCATATTGATAAAAAACAATCAGTGAACGGCAAATGTCACTCCTATCCTTTTTTTCCCCTCATAGTTATACACTATAGTAAGCAATGTAACATCCATAATACTGGAAATAGCTTTTACCTTACCACCGCCTATTTAAAATTGGACTAAAAATGGAATAGGTTTATCTACTTCCCCCATTTTTTCCTCTAAGACCATTTGTCATTCCAGAGTTCCTCTTCTTAGAGGAAACGAAGACATATCATCACAACTGAAGATATTTTCTACAGTTGTAAATTCAACTACTGAATACATGGATCCAATCTAAAAGCTCACATGTGTTATCTCAAGAAATTAAACATGGCTTCATAAACAGACAACTTTATATTCCTATTTAACTTCTGAAGAAAATGTACCCTTTTTTCCCCCAGGGAACAAGGATGGAAGTATATGCAGATCCTTCTACAGCTGCTCAGGATGCAATGGTAAATATAGTCAGATGTGAGTTTCTCAAACACAACAAAAAGAACAAATAGAAACATTGAAAAGTGATTTAGGACTTCCTTAAAATCTTTCGCTTTTTTTTTCCTTTTTCTGGTGTATTAGATTCTTTGGGAAGCATGTCAGCGGAAAACCGGTGAACACAAAAACATGCTGCAAATGATTCTCTGCAACAAGAGCTACCAGCAGTTGTGGATGGGTAAGCGCTGTTTGAACATAGAGTGGAAAGGAAAAATCTGACTTGCTAATAAAACCACGGTTTACATACCAAGAAGCTCAGTGTGCAGCAGGGTATTAGCCTGAAACCTAAGCGTGAACTGTTGGAGCTCTCAGACTCCCACTGATGTTAATGGGATTTTGGAAGTAATGCAAAACTGAACTTTGCCTGACGACTACAGACAGCTGCAGATAGAACAGACAAACATCAGAATGCCTAATAACAGAGAGGAGAATGCATGACCAAAGAAAGGCATAGGCAATGGCTGCACTGAGTTTACACACAACACAATAGGATGAGGCAGATTTTTAACTATTTTCTTCATTTTTCCAAAGTAACTCTCTGCTATGAGTTGAAACACCTTGGGAAAGGCAGTTGGAGTATTTTCAACAAATGTTTGTATGTGAAAACACATTGCTGTGTTGAAGCTTTTCCCCAGAAGTTTCAAAGAAGTTTTTGATGGGAGCACTTCAGGGTCCACATCCGCTCTCTTGTAACAAACATAAACTCAGAAACGTAATGGGACATTTTTATTTAAAATAGATAATCAGACATAATTACAGATTGCAAGAAATTTATATGAGATCATCCAGATCTTCCACTGTAGAAAAGAAACCTGTCCTATCTGTTTGGTGACAACTCTGAGATGTCTTTTGCTCCGCAGTGCAAAAACAGTCTGTTTGGTGACAAGTTTATCACTGTGCAGCCAGCTGTATTGCTTATGCCAACTTCTAACAGCAGCTTAGAACTACTTTGCTGTAATGGATCAACAAATTCTTCTGTCATGACTTCTGTAAGGCTGGTGATGATAGGATTAACATAATCATATCATGTAACACACCTGCTTATGCTCTACTCCCTTTCTGTAACAGATTCGAGGGCCCTGCCTGTAATGTAGTCCTCCATAAGTTTTGTAGTAAGCAGTGAGCTGAAAATTTTCCGCCTTTCCTAAAGGAGTAAGCATGTCCTGCATATTTGTGTGTGTACATCTGGATACCTGCATTACCCAGAGAACATCCATGTCTGAATACTGACATGTTACACATGTCACGCCACGGCTTCTTGTCACAATATGTGAATCTCTGGCCAGTTTTAGCCACGCTGAGCAAGGAAGTTGTCTTAATGACACAACATTCTTAACAGTTTCATAAACAGAGGTTGCTAGATAGAGAATTTATTAAAGCTTCCAGTGAAACAGAGGCTTTGACATGCATTCATTTTATACTGTATACTGAAGAACCCAGAGAGAGAATGTCCTGGAAGCCAGGTTTCAGGCTACTCATTTAGATTGCCTTACCTGGGGGATATAAACATAATGAAACACTGAGAACAAACAGGGTAAAAAATAAACTCAACAGTTATAGTACTGGGGGGGAAGCAGGAAAAGAAAAGGCAAGTTGATCATTATTAATCACCTAGAATAAAGCAAGATTTTTTTTTTCCCCCCCAAGTTTTCCAGGAGTTCCAAAATATCTCTGGGCAAGACATAGTAGATGCCATTAATGAATGTTATGATGGATACTTTCAAGAACTACTAGTTGCAATAGGTAATGTAAAAATATTATTTTTCTGATATTTTTATCCACTTTACACCCCTATACTGCGTAACTAAATTTTCAGAGATAATTAGAAAAGGGTATTTAAACTACTTTTCCATGGTTTTGTGTAAATCTGAAAATGTACATAAATAGCACCAGAACCTGACTGAGCAGAGCTAGTATCTGTTCTTTTCTTCAAATCTTCAAATTTCGTGTGATAAATGATAACTGCATTACCAACTGATTCTACACATCTTAAATAACTGGCAAAGTTTTCAGGACTTCAGTGGTATATAAACAAGTTCCAAGCTTTATGTGCCTTTTTTCCATTTACAGAATAAGGATGATAATATTTCTACAAAGATGTCATGTGAGCGTATTCACTGATATTTAATAAGCCCTTCAATGCAACAGCAATGAGTACCCACCCAAAATAAGTACCAGACTTTTTCAATTATAAATACAGTTATGTTTGTGAAAACTGGTAGCTGAATTTTAAGCTGAGTCATGGACAGCATTACCAGCTTTATATTTCAAGGACCCCAAAGCCAATAGAAATTATCTTATAATAATCTTATGTTTACCTGTTGCAAATCTTCTCTCCTAGTTCTCTGTGTTCGTGACAAGCCTTCCTACTTTGCTTACAGGCTTTATAATGCAATTCATGTAAGTAGTCTTTCTTCTTCACGTGTCATAAAAAGCAGCTTCCCTATGGTTTTGTTTGCCTGATTATCCTTAAACAAGTACTTATAAATCAGTCCACTCAAACTTTAAGGTTGAGTGTTTTAAAACTGTTGGTGCCTATATAAATTTCAGCAACAGTTAGGATTTAACAGGAAAGATTAAATATTTAGATTCCTTAAAAAAATATCTGTACGGTAACATTGTTCATCTCTTTTTTTAAAACCAAAAAACCTTTCTTTTCTATGGATTGTATCTCCCCCTGCTGTGCAGAACTCAACGTGCACTTTTCTTGAAATGCAATTTTTGTCTCTGGAGATTTAATAAATATCACCAAAAATTAAATCATAAATTAACATTACATTAAAAAAATGGTCATATTTTCTTGTGGGGCTCAATGTATATATGCAGATTCTTTTATCTTTGTGCGTAAGTGCCAACACACTAAAACAAATGAGTGCCAAGAAGAAATGTGGGTAAATGCAAAGAATCACCTACAAATTCTTCATACTAGAGGTCACTGGCAATATTTTCTTTTGGTTTTCATTCATTAGTGAAAATAATGAGGCATTATGTTATACAAAAAATACAGTATAATCTTTTAAGTGTAATCTTTAGAACATGATCATAAAAGCCAGCCATGGGTAAAGTGTGAAGTATCATCTTAGCCACCGAACAAAACTTTTCAGCAACACTTCACAAGGGCCCCAGTATCCTCTTACAGATTCTGCCACTACTGATGTCCCCTTGTTTTGGCTAAACCTGCAACAGTGACTGCAAAGACCCAAGGGAAATCCCAGGGGCTGAGAGGAGGAGGCAGTATTTTGTTTGAGTAGTCAAAAGAGCATTCTGACAGGACAGAAAAATGTTTGCCAAAAGTACCAGGAAATACCAGCTATCAGGAAAAGTGTAGTTTCTCAAAGGTCCTGTTACCAAGACCACTTTTCAAGTTAAAACCTCATTTTTAATTTTAAGAAATATCATGTAGAGAGTTTTCTTCTATATTATACTCAGATGATATATGTGATGCAGGAAAAAATTCTTATTGATTAAGAATAAACATCTGCATATTGTTTTAATTAATATTTTACTCTGTTTTCTCAGTGTTTTAATGAACACAGATAATTCTCAAAAGAAATGCAAGAATTTAAAATAACACCTATTTTTTCAAGTTATGTCCAGATTATACCAAAAGCTTTTTACACATCCATTTATATTGCAATATAATAAAACCCACTCGGGATTCTAATGCTCGAAATCATAGTCCATAATAGTTTATAAGAAAGATCTTAATCTAGCCATCAATCACATATCAAATCTTCTTTCTATATGCAGCTTCTTAACATATCTCATTACTTGTTTCTTAGAGAATAAGACTTCAATATCAATGCCTAGTCAATAAAATTACGATTTAGCTTTAAACAATCTAAATTGCTCATCAGTCATCCCAACCCTAAATCTCTTTTGATTACTTTTATTGCCACTAGATGTCTCCGTTCTCCACACAATTAAAATATGAAAATTTATTTAGAAACAGTTAAAACAGAACTGAACACAAGCTATGCAAATTGTAAATCAATGGTTTAAAATCTCACTGAATTCATATTCAGCAGCAGTTGTTGTGCAAAAGATTATTGGCTTCAGTATGCTTTGAATGGACTCCACAATGACAGTCACAAGAGCTACCTACCAACTGAATGCCTAAGACTACTGACAGCAGTTCATCAGGTTTTTCTTTTTAAAAGTTTCAGTGCATGGTTAAAACACTGATATGTGGGGAATCTGTTGTTCAGTAATATGAATCTTATTATTTCAGCAAGTGAAAATTCTGTAGGATAAAACTTTTGAATGCTTAGGCTCCTTTAAAATCTAGGATATCTTTAAGGGTAGCCTAACTAATGGCCTTATCTATTAAACATTAATATGAGCTTATTCAGACAGGCAAATACATATTGTTCAACTGTCAAGTTTCCTCTCTTTTCTTTTTAGGACTGCGGGTTTCACAATAAAACAGTTATAAGGATTCTTATTGCCAGGAGTGAGATTGACTTGATGAATATACGACAGCGATACAAAGAGAGATATGGGAAATCACTCTTTCATGATATTAAAGTAAGTTTTTGCACATTTGCATCTATTCAGCACTGGCCCCACACAGACTGTGCCAAGCCCTACAAGAAAAATATAATCACTTGGTTTAAAAAAAAAAAAAAAAGTCTAAAACCAATAGCATATCTTTTCAGTGCCTCACGCTGACTTTAGTAAGTGAGCAGTGACTTCTCAACTCACTCACATTCTATGTGATTTTGTCCCTCCTCAACAGTAAGAGGAGGATATAAACAGGACAGGACAGTATATGCTGAGGAATGGTTTGCACAAATAGTTTCTAAACTAATGAATACCACCTTCTTTCACACTGTCCTGCAAGGTTAGGCTGACACCATTTTCATGAAAAACTGAGATAATAATCCTTGCATTTAGGTAGCATCAACCTTCAGAAAAACTATTCCTCTTGTACTCTGTATCTTAAAACAAAACTCTGACACTGTTTAATTGTACAAAAATGACTCTTGCTATGACACTTTACCTTTTTTATGTTGCTATAATCCAGCTGTAAAACGTGCAGTAACTGTAAGAAATTGCTTATGATTTTTTGGTATTGAACTTGAGAAGTATTAAACAGGTTTGAGCTAACCTTTCAAAGGTAGATTGTTTCTAGGTGCCCAAACAACCAAAGCCCAACATATGTTAAATTAAAAAAAAAAAAAAAAAAAAAAAAAAAAAAAAAAAAACCACCAAAACTTGGCCTAGAATCCTTATGAAAACACTGTAATATTTTACAAAACCTTACAACATCAGTCTAGTCCTTGACACACACCAAAAGAAGAAAAATTAAGAAAATGTGCAGTCACGGAAATCTTGATATTTTTTCTTGCAGCATTTTGCTTCAGGGCATTATGAGAGTGCTTTACTTGCTATCTGTGCTGGTGATGCTGAAGATTATTAAGGAAGAAGAAGATGAACTTTGAAGGCTGTATAAATCTATTTTAAATAGAAGTTGAAGCTATACACAGTACACTAACTGTAAGAGATTCCTATTCCACATAATAAAAGAACAGAAAAATCAGTGCTACACACTTGCCAATATTAAATCTTTCTTGAGACAGAAAAAATGTTGGCAGGAACATGATTTTATCCCTAGTTCTAATTAATGTTTCTGTTTCTGTGATTAACATCAGTTAATGAAGCAAGGAGTAAAATAACTCCATGTAAGTGTATGTTTATTGCTTAGTCTCGCAACATCCCAAACGTTAGACAATACGCTCTGGAAGAACCTATTCACTTCCATACTGGAGAGAAAAAATGTTTTGCTTTATGTACTTTTAGCCACATGATTTTTTCCTTTAAGTAATTTTTTTCTTTTCTTTCCCACTTATACCTCATATTTTATGCACTTGAACTTTACTGTTTTAGTTACCAACAAATTAACCATCTGCCCCAGTCTATTATCAGTCACTCACCAAGGAGTGCTTTTGTATTCTCTTTCATTTCAATGCCCACATACTTCATGGTATTTCCCTTGTTCCGTTGGAAACAAAATAAAAAATTAGAATCAAGTACCCTAAACCATGCTTGGTATAGTGCCACACTCTGGAAACCACTGGAAGATGAAGCATTATATACCTTTGAGCAGAGAAGTTCCAGAGGATTAAATTCCATTTGCACCTCTCTCGTTTTAATCATTAACTGAATATTGACCCTCAGAGCACTGAGGTATTTCCAGGGTGCCCCAGACGATGCAATTCGGGAGTTGACTAGTAATAGCTAACCCTGCACCTCCAAATGAGGCTGAGCGCTCCTCAGAACACGGGCAAACGCAGTCTGACGACATCTGGTGACCGCAAGGAGGAAAGGCGGCAGAGCCCAGCCTCGAGTCCTCGACCCTCAGGAAAACACGGCACTGCTTTTAAATGCCCCGGTCACACGGAGTGTAGCCTGCCCATGAGACTTGCCAGCCTGCGTATTTGTACCTCCTGTCGGTGTCTTATGCAAACAGACACAAGTGACGGAAAACGCGGCAATACTCACTAAAATAACTGCCCTTGGCTCTTCTCCTGCAGCTACAAGGTTTCCAACTTGACAGAGACATTTTAGATTTTTTTTAATTAGGTACCTTCTGCAAGTACAGCTCAATATGACTGAATAAAGCACTACTATAAAAATACACAGGTATGCGTTGCTTTATGCTGTTTACACCTGTCTCCTCAGCCTGCGAAAACAACGTTATTTCCACTGCATCTTGCTTTTTTGCAAATACTGACTTCATGTTACAAATCTATTGATTCAGAATACACTTAAAATTTCAGCTGAGTCCCTCTTGAGTTTGACACATTTCAAAATACTTCAGGTGAATAATGTAATTATCAAGCCAGTAACGGCTCTGGGAGGAAAAATAAACTAAGAACAGAGGTGAGAATGAGATGAGCACTGTCCCAATTTGTCAGCTTTAACAAAACCCTAAACTTAAGTTACAGACGATGATTTTGTAGCTGTAGTTCGAGACCGCTAGCTGAGCCCGCTAGCACCAGCCGTACCTCGGCACCGTGGGGTTACCGCGCTGTAACTCCGCGCACAGGTGCCGGCAGAACGAGGCCGCCAGGCCGGCCGTGCTCACGCCGTGCTCACGCCGCGCTTCCCGCAGGGCGCGGCCCCCAGGCCCCCCCGCAACACGCGGAGCGTGAACTCCGCCCAGAACCCGTCCCAAAATGGCGGCGGCGGCGCTAGGGCCCGGAGGGCGTCCCAGGGCGTAACC